AGGCAAGTGTCTTCTGAGCCATTTGCAGTTGCTTTCTCTGCTCATTAGATGAATCCTGGAAGGTGGGGTGAGAGCACAGTGAAATTCCCTGGGGACTAACAGTTTCCCAAGGAGTCCTCGGCACCCATGAAGAAAAAGCCCTGCCAGCCTAGGTCCAGAAAAGCAAAAGCAATAGCGATACTTACCAGCAAGTTTGGGGTATGTACATCCAGGGCAGGTTCGAGGTTTGTGTCCAAACTGAGAACAACATGCTCGACCCAGGCTGGGAACCAGCCGCTCCTGGCCTGCGTGCCTTTTTAGCAGTAAATCTTGGATGTTGAACTAAAAAAACTTGCTTCCTTACAAACAGTCTATTATTCTTTTCACTGCTGAAAATGCACATATTCAATTAAGAGACATTCCAAGATTATTTATTTGACCTCTGTTTACTTGGTTACTGTCTTTTTTCCAAATCTCACAAACTCATTTTCCGGCCCTTCCCTCTCTGATGCTAAAATCCCACTAACTGCTTTTGAGCGCTCAAGTTGGGAGCTGATGAGCTGGGCTTGAATTCCCGTTCTACCTCCTAACTGCTGTGAGACGTTGGGAAAGTCATTTAATCATTTAAACCTGTTTCTTCATCTGCTTATTAGTGGATACAGCTGATCCCCAAGCAACGGGTTAGGTATCTTCACCCTTCGAAAGGTGGGAAATTTGGGTAGAACTCAACGGTCGGCGCTCCAGCGCCACGGCTCTTGTAACCAAGATTTGACCAACCACGGATCTTGTAGTCTAGTGTATTTACTATTAAAAAATTTCAATGTGAGCGTACCTGAACAGATGGTCAATAAGATAAATTACACAATTAAATCTTTTTCATCGTTTGCAAAACTATATAAAAAGAGGGCTTTTTTTTTTTTAAATACAAATGCTGCTGTCAACTAATGAATTCTATTTACTATACCAATCATAAATTAAGAGGATGTTAAAACACAGCCATTTTATGTCAGGCTGAAGGAGTCCTGGTTGGCAATCTAACAGGAGTGTCAAAGCTGGCAGCAGGATCCCAGGGTTCTTAACTTTGTCACCTCCACCTTCTCTTCCAAAGTCCAGGCTACTATAAACCCAGTGGAACTTCAGACAAACCAATACATTCTTGAACCCCAAATGTGCACCAGCGTGAAACTCTTTCCAAAAGGGGTTGTGACATCTGTGCAGCCTAGGAAACTGTCTGGGTAGCTAAGTGTTCCCAAAACTTCTGCCACAGTCAGCAAGTTCATGAAGGTCCTATGATATTAGAGATGGTGTACCCAGGGCTCCAGGGGCCCAGATAGCTTGCCAGCTTGATCTTGATTTACCCAAATTTACTTAATGACTTAAAGAATAAACCAATCTAGGTTTTGTGCTAATACCTACAACTTTGTGTATAGGTTTTTCTGCCATGATTATTTTATCTAATGCATGGAGAGGAATAATCACCTAGAATGATGCTTCGTAAGTATACGAGTCTCACTAGAAACTCAGTTCTATTATTGGGGAATAATAGGAGCAAGGTATTCTAAAAAACTGTGAACTTTGGCATTAGGCCTAGATTTGAATCCACCTGAAGAAATTAATCTCTTGGGAACATAATTGGAAAAAGGAGAAAATACTATGGATTGAAATAAAGTGTATTTTGACTATGTTAAGTGGCCAAAACACGGCATGCATGCTTAGTCACGTCCAACTCTTTGTGACCCCTTGGACTGAAGCCCGTCAGGCTCCTCTGTGCATTGGATTCTCCAGGCAAGAATACTGGAGTAGGTTGCCATTTCCTACTCCAGGGGATCTTCCCAACCCAGGGATCAAACTCGTGTCTCTTGCATTTCCTGTATTGGCAGGTGGATTCTTTTATCACTGAGCCACCAGGGAAACCCATTTAAAACATGGCACTCGTCATCATTATTATTGTTAGCATGTTTTTATGTTGTGAGTTATATCAACTATTTATACTTTCAAATTTCTTAGAAGAAAGGCATCATCCATGCCAAGTATCACAAATAATTAAAGTTTATATAAGAAGAAAGTTAATTTATGAAATCATCTGGTCAATTATTATTTCTCCCTTTTGAGAAGTTTCATGGTGCTGTGAAATTCACAAATACTATGTCCTGTGATAATGTGAATTTGAATATAATGCAGTCAGAATGTTTCCCATCCTCTTCAACATACTTATCTTGGTCATGATATTAATCTCAACACTAAGATTTATGTGACAGATTTATGTTTTTATACTAACACTATAGCATTATTTGTTGTTGTTGTCCAGTCACTAAGACTGACTCCTTGCAACCCCATGGACTGTGGTCCACATGCCAGGCTCCCCTGTCCTTCACTACCTCCCAGAATTTGCCCAAACTGATGTCCATTGAGTCAGTGATGCCATCTAGTCATCTCATGTCTGCTGCCCCCTTCTCCTCTTGCCTTCAATCTTGCCCAGCATCAGGGTCTTTTCCAAAGAGTTGGTTCTTTGCATCAGGTGACTAAAGTATTGGAGCTTCAGCTTCAGCATCAGTCCTTCCAATGAATATTCAGGGTTGATTTCCTTTAGGATTGACTGGTTTGATCTCCTTGCTGTCCAAGGGACTCTCAAGAGTCTTCTACAACACCAGAGTTCGAAAGCACCAATTCTTCGGGAGCTCAATCTTCTTTATGGTCCAGTTCTCACATCCATACATGACTACTGGAAGAACCATAGCTTTGACTAGATGGATCTTTGTCAGCAAAGTGATGTCTTTGTTTTTTAACATGCTGTCTAAGTTTGTCATAGCTTTTCTTCCAGGCAGCAAGGGTCTTAATTTCATGGCTGCAGTCACCATCTGCAGTGATTTTGGAGACCGAGAAAATAAAATCTATCACTGTTTCCACTTTTCCCCCTTCTATTTGCCACGAAGACAAGGGACTGGATGCTGTGATCTTAGTTTTTTTCATGCTGAGTTTTAGCAAGCCACTCCAGTATTCTTGCCGCAAAAGTCCAATGAACAGTATTTAAAAAGCAAGAAGGATAAACAGAGCATGATATCTTTGACAATGACATTTTATTAATGATTTGTAATTACATTTGACTTAGATAATTGATAGTGTAAGTCGTTCAGTCGTGTCTGACTCTTTGTGACCCCCATGGACTACACAGTCATGGAATTCTCCAGGCTAAAATACTGGAATGGGTAGCCTTTCCCTTCTCCAGTGATCTTCCTAACCCAGGGATTGAACCCAGGTTTCCCACAGTGCAAGTGGAGTTTTTACCAGCTGAGCTATCAGGGATGCCCAGGATAATTGAAGTTGCCAACTAAAGAATTTCTCTTTTCCTCTTTCACTCTTGCAAGACAGCCCCTCTGAGTAGCCAAAGGAATCTTTCTAAAGTGTTCAATTCAAGTCACACTTTGAGTAAAATCAATGGGTACCTCTTTAATGCCTCAAGGATATAGTTCACATTCCTAGTCATGGTTTACCATGTCCTCATGCGGCCCCATGTTTTCTCCCCACTTTTTATCTCTTGTTCTTAGAATATGAAGGCACTATGGTCAGGGAAGAACTCCTCTTATTGCTTTCTCTCTGGGCCCTTCTATATTATTCTTTAAGTCATCAATATTCTTTACACATATCACTTTTTACAGAAGTCTTTCCTAATCTCCCAAGTTCATCTAGGTGTCCAACTTAAATATACTTCTGGCTTAGGAGTTTTCATACTGTTCCCTGAAGGCCTTAGAGTTGAAGTTTTAAAATACCTGTATCTGTGTTATAAGGAAAAATACCNGGAGGAGAAGGGGACGACAGAGGATGAGATGATTGGATGGCATCACTGACTCAACGGACATGAGTTTGAGTAATCTCTGGGAGTTGGTGATGGACAGGGACACCTGGAGTGCTGCAGTCCATGGGGTCATAAACAGTCAGACATGCCTGAATGACTGAACTGAACTGAACTCTGGCCAGGCTACAGTCCCTAGTTTTTCCATCAGCACTACTCTAAGTGGTGCTGTGTTTTGTAGATGTGGTTAAAATCTACAACCAGTCCACATTAACTGAGATTTTCATAGACAATCTGGATAGGTCTGACTGAAGCGGTTGAAAGGCTGAAAGCAGAAGGGAGGCTTTTCTGAGAAGGAAGAAATTCTGCCTCAGCAGAAACTGACAGCAACTTCAGTTTGTGCCTGTGATTTCCAGCCTGTCCTACAGGACAGCCCGCCCTCTGGCCTTCAAATTTGTGCAGCCAGCCCCACAACCATGTAAGCCAACTCTTGCAATAGATCTCATAATAAATATATTTTACTAGTTCTGTTTCCCTGGGTTAAATCCTGACTGATACACCCGTGAAATATTTATTTTTTTCTTTTTGCATTAAATCTAACTGACTGCACCTTGACATAGAAGGTAGACACTTCTCCTAACGGTTCTCTGTATTATGAGTTGAGTGGAGCTAATTATTTTCACAGTAGATGTGAACATACTTTTAATTCAACATTTTCCTCCATTTTACTATATCTTACCTTTCCATTTCAAAAGGAACTATTAGATGTAGATTCAATGACAACCTTCCTTTGTAAATCAAACTTCTATTGTAACTTAAAAATAAATATATTTAGCTTTTGCATATAAGTGAAAAGGAAAATAAAACCCTTGTGTCTAGTTGGCAAGAACTGAAACTTATATAAAAATGAATGATATTTTCTAAAGATTTAAAAGTAGGTTTTAGAAAGGTTTTAGATTTTAGAGATGTACACTATGAAATCATTCCATCAAAACAGAAGCAAACATTGTCACTGATTTGCCAGTGACAATACAATTTCAAATGACTTAGCAGGAAAATTTTTATAACTCTCCTAGACAGAATGTCTTAAAACTGTCTCTTAATACTAATGGTCTTTTGCCAAGTTTCATTTCATCCTTAATTGCTCTGAGAACTCCAAAAACCAGAATACAGTTATACACATACACACTTTGAGAGCTAATTTGAAAATAAAAACCCAAAGGAAGTAGGATTGAAACTAAAGTCAGATTTTAATTGAACAGAAAGTATTATTCATGACAATTTTTTTCCTAAGATAAATGAAGTAGTCCTTTAAAAAAACTCCACTTTTAGAAATGTTAAACATTTATTCATTTTTCTTATTGGTAGCTTTTTTCCTGGCTGTAATAAGAATATGCACAAATAACTGTACATTTTGAATATTACAACCCAAAATTCAGAGTGATTTTTCCATATAGGTTAGGTACCATTGTAAAATAAATTAATTTTAATTACAAAGGACTAGTACCAATTAATATCTAAGAACTGTATTACCATTTACTTGTAATAACAAACATGTGCTTTGACATTTTCATTTATTATTATAAAAACTGAGTTTTCAATGAAGACTATGGTTGTGAAAATCTGAATTAAACAGTCCTTTAAACATTAAAAATCATGGAAGAATAAAATGTCAAGCAAGTGGACATTTTTCCTGTGATATATACATAAATATTTTCATGTAAACAAAAGCAAATATTAAGTATCCTTGTCAGCAACTGAAATACATAGATTTAAATGGTTGTTTTATTTTTTCATGCTTCCATTGAACACAACTGGTGTAAGCAGAGCAATAGGAATTGGATGAATCTTTGCATTCCCCTTACTCTTCAGGAGGTTACATATAATAAAGATACCTCTCAACTAGAAAAGAAAATATGACAGGAATCAGACTCCTTAAAAGGCATCACTTTCAATTGTGAAGTCACCTTTTCACTCTACTTTGAAACTATATGTTTTATCAGAACTGTGCCAGTTGAAAGATGATAAAGCTGACTCTGGAGTGATCCAGCACTCACACAGGTGGCCGCAAATTAGGCACAGTGATACACAGACTTTCTTCTCAGTGTGGATTACCCATACACTGGGAGATAACGGCTTCCAACACAAATCATTTTTTGGAAAAAACAGACAATTTTTAAGTGGATGTATTTCCCACAGGTGTGTTTCTTGAAGTATGCCCCAAAGACCATCTAAACCAGAATCAGACCAAATTCTCAACAAGACAGAAGTGGGCCTTGGTGGGCCCAATGCCCCTCTGGGGGCCCTGGTGACCTGTATTTATTGTTAACAAGCTCCCCTGGGAAGACTTAAATGCAAATGAATATTTGAAAGTTTGAATATCACTATTTCAGATTATTAAGGATTTCTTTTGACTCTTTGTTTTGACCACAAACACTTCATTGTCTCTTTTCTGCTTCTTACTTATTAGCCTGAAGGAAAAAGAAAAACATTTCTGATGATGTCAGCCAGTGATGATAACTCATAGTGGCATTTTTTTCCATCAAGAAAATATAGAATAGGCAATAGATGATACTACACCTAAATTGTTCAAAGGTACACTATAGTACTTTTTTTTAAGCTTTCAAAATGTATATGTGATACAAATGTTCAAAATGGTTTGTAAACTGTCATCTGACTGATCAAGACAATCCAGTGTAAAGAGAACTGCTGTTCGATGTGGGTGCTGAACTCACAAAGGCCCCTCTTGGTCATCTTTCACAAACAGTGAGCCTCTTAGAAGGCACTCCAGAGCTCCTCCCAACGCTGCACTACCTACCAGCAGCCCTGAATTTACCGAAGGATTGCTCATAAAAGCAGGACCACGGAAACAAAGCTGGCTCAACTCCAACCATGAACGGTGTCTCAAGATCTGCTGCCGACAGGTAAGATGAGTACAGATCATGCTGACTTTCCTCAGATAAAGTCTAATTTCAGACAGACGACTTAATATCTGCCTGAAATCTAGCTTATATTGAAAATGGAAAGCATGATACACTTAAATGTGCTACTAATATCTACTACAGTGTTTATGCTCTGTAAGATCCCCAATGGATAAAAGCAATTTTACCTGTGAATAATATAAATAAGGAACCAAAGAGGTAGGTGAGCCTCATCAGAAGATGATCTCAAACTGTGTTGAATAACATGCTTGAGTCCCCGAGGAGAAGTTAACTGGAAAATGAGTCCCAGTAACAAGGCCACTGCCTCAAGAACAGCGTTTCTCAAGTCTTTCATGATGACATCCACCTCCCAAACTCCTAACCCCTGCCATGGTGCCACGTGCTCTTCAGACATCCAATTTTAAGAGACATCTAAAGAAGTAAAATGTAAAAAAAAAAATAATACTTTTTTTTTTAAGCTTTCAAAATGTATATGTGATACAAATGTTCAAAATGGTTTGTAAACTGTCATCTGACTGATCAAGACAATCCAGTGTAAAGAGAACTGCTGTTCGATGTGGGTGCTGAACTCACAAAGGCCCCTCTTGGTCATCTTTCACAAACAGTGAGCCTCTTAGAAGGCACTCCAGAGCTCCTCCCAACGCTGCACTACCTACCAGCAGCCTTGCTCATAAAAGCAGGACCACGGAAACAAAGCTGGCTCAACTCCAACCATGAACGGTGTCTCAAGATCTGCTGCCGACAGGTAAGATGAGTACAGATCATGCTGACTTTCCTCAGATAAAGTCTAATTTCAGAGAGACGACTTAATATCTGCCTGAAATCTAGCTTATATTGAAAATGGAAAGCATGATACACTTAAATGTGCTACTAATATCTACTACAGTGTTTATGCTCTGTAAGATCCCCAATGGATAAAAGCAATTTTACCTGTGAATAATATAAATAAGGAACCAAAGAGGTAGGTGAGCCTCATCAGAAGATGATCTCAAACTGTGTTGAATAACATGCTTGAGTCCCCGAGGAGAAGTTAACTGGAAAATGAGTCCCAGTAACAAGGCCACTGCCTCAAGAACAGCGTTTCTCAAGTCTTTCATGATGACATCCACCTCCCAAACTCCTAACCCCTGCCATGGTGCCACGTGCTCTTCAGACATCCAATTTTAAGAGACATCTAAAGAAGTAAAATGTAAAAAAAAAAATAATACTAGAGACCAAAGAGTGATGCTGATGTCAGCTGGGCTTTTCAAAAAATCTCTCCTGTCGCATTATAGTTGGAAAAGATCTTGAAGATTCATCTAGTCCAACTCTCTGGCTGTACAGCTAAAGAAACAGAGGCTGGCTTCCCACTGGTGACAAGGCACGACAATTCTAAAAGCGTGCTGTAGACCCAAAGGGGGTTCATGGTTAACTCGACTATTTATAAAGTCCATGGTGTAGCCAGCAGGCTACACTCTCAGCACTGACGGCCTTAGTCTGAAGCCCCATCTCGGGGGCCATCCAGTTCCTGGAATTGGAGAGAGAAGGGCACCGAAGGCCCCAGATACACGTGGGGCAGTGGAAAGAGGCAGATTATCAGCAAGAGAAGAAGAATTTGAAACCCTAGACCTGCCCCAGTGAAAACTTGCTCAAGGCTCAGACCAGGGTTTCTGTTCACCTCTAAGCATTCACATTCTTCAACAGCCAGCTCTGCTCTGGGCAAGCACCGGGGCAACCACACGGCATTCTGTCCAGAACACTGAGAAATACAGCTGGACAACTGGAAACATCTAAACCTACAGGGCAAAGACCTAAAGACAGCTGTATTTAACTTCTTGATAACTGTCACTTGTTTTGCAAATCAAAAATTTGCCTTATTTCCTTATACCCTTATCTAAGATTTTTAAGTTCCACTTTATAAAGGAGGTTATGAATGATTTTATTTTTTTCCTTTCTATTTTTCAGACTTTCTGTCATGTAATTCCTTTTGGTAATTTAAAAAAAAAAAAGCTATTTTTTTTTAAAAAGAAGGTTTCAGTCTAAAAAAAAACAAATGGAAGAATACACATAGGTCCCTCTTGGTCATGGAACTTGCAAATCTGAAGGCCGTGTCTGTGCAGTACGGCAGAATAGCAGTCTCAGGACGCAGATGGATTTTCTGACCTCTCTACCACTAACCCTGGGCAGGGTTTAAGTCTCTTTGAGACTTGCCTTCTTCGTCTGCAAAAGGAAGAAATAATAGCCTCCCTCACGGCACACTGTGAGGATAAAATGTTGCACGGTGGCTGACACCCGGTAGATGCCTAACAAATGGAGACCCTTCTCCCACTGAACTCGGAGAATCTGTGAGTAAAAGAGACCGCCACAGCCCCCAGCAGCCGTAGCCTCTCTGCATTTCATTTACATTTTCGAGGGTGCTCCATCTTCTCAACTCTGCCCTATTTCTGTAAAGATTCACTATTGTGCTTAGCAAAAGTTCTACATTTTTATGTTCTCTCCTTTAAAACTGTACATGCAGATAAAACATTTTTTTAAAAAAAAAACTATCTTCCTAGAAATAATGTAACATTTCCTAAAGCACAACATGTCATGTATAAAAGCAATTCTGAAAAACATGACTGAATTAGTCTGTACATTGTTTCTTAAAGTGCACCAAAGTAAATATTAATGACCTTTAAAATGTCACTCACCCCCTTGGGTTATTTTTCTTAAATAAAACTATCTACTGAGATGTATGTGGTTTTTGGCTCCAACGTGATGGCAAAAAGCAGCAGTGTCTTCCAGAAAAAAAAAAAATTTTGATAAATGCAACTAAGCATATCTTAGCAGCATACAATATACCTAAAATTCAATGTAACTTCAGGCTCAATAAAGCAGAATCCTGATTCCTACTACAAATCAACATCAACTGAAGTTATAGAAAACCATCTCCCCACCCTAAATCAAAGATTTCTCTTGAACCCTGGAGGTAACACTTGGGATCACTTCCCTATTGTGTATCCCTGGTAACAGACTTATAACTAATCACCATTCTTTCTTCACATTGCACACATACACATATATACATACCCTATGAATAAAACAACAACGTTTAAGTGGAGAAGCCAAGAGAAAGAAAATTCAAAGTCAGATAAAGAACAGCCATCACCCAAAATGTCAGGCAGTTCCGATATTCATACCACCGTCCGATGTTCCCCACACACATAGACAGCACTGGGGCGTATCCGTCGCCGTGTGTGACCAGGGAGCCGCGGCAAAAACTTGAAGGACTTAGGCATCATGTCCAAGCAGGCATCATGGAATTTCTTAATCCTCCAGTAGTAAATCAGTGGGTTCAACGCAGACTTGAGGTAGCAGAGCCAGAGTAGCCAGGTGCTGATCTCAAAAAAGTTGTGCTGATAGTAAAAGCGCTTGCTGAACGTTGCCACAAGGCTGTAAGTGGTGAACGGGGCCCAGCAGACGATGAAGACAGCGAAGAGAATCAAGATGGTTGTGAAGGCACGCGTTTTAAAGCCCATGTCAATGCTCATCTGGAAGGGTCTCTGCAGACTCATGAGACCCAGTTTGCTGGCCTGGCTGAGGCATATACCTTCAGGGTAGCTGTGGATCCTCAAGGCATTATGCCGAAGAGTATTGAGGATGCCCATAAATGAATACAGGATCACCAGGAAGGGCAGGAAGAAAGAAATGAGAGAAATCAAAATCACATAAGCCTGGTAACCCGGATCGGTTGTGTACCCGAACACGCACTGGGGGGCTCGGGAAGGTATCTGCAGGTCAGGGTTCCCTACTGCCAAAGGAAAAGCTACACAAAAAGAAGCTGCCCAAGAAACTGCAATGAGAACCTTAGCCCTGTATGGATTTAGCTTATCCTGCCTCTGGACTATAATAAGAAACCTATCAATGCTAATGATGAGCAGGATGGCTACTCCCTCTATCACAAACAACCAGAAAAACATAGCAGATACCCTACAGAAGAATTTCCCGAAAATCCATCTGGTGGTAAGGATAGTGACCAAGGCAAAAGGCATGTTCAGCACTGCAAGCAACATGTCTGCAAAGGCCAGGCTGGCCAGGAGGATGTTAATGGCAGATCGCATGGCGGCTTTTTGGTAAACCATGAGGCAAACAACCAAGTTACCAAGAAAAGACACACACAGAATAAATATCATCAGAGCAGAAAGGATGATCTGGAGAGGCAAGTTGAGGCTCTTGGAAGCTGCTGGTGTTGGGGACACAGCTGTACTATTCATTGTTAGGGAACTCATCCCAGTGGGAGCCAGGGTTTCAACACTGTATCTCAGCAGCGGAGCATCGCCAGGGAGCTGGAATGGTGGAGGGACCGTAATATTCACGTAGGTGTTTTCATAGACTACGAACGTTGTGTTGGATGCCCCAGTATGGGACACCGTCAACACTGCAGAGACGACCATGGTTTCAACAGGATGGAAGCTGGCGTTGTCAGAGATGGGAGTGTTCTTCAAGCATTTTAACACAGAGCAGCAGGATCAGGTTTCACTGATGAGCCTGGAAACATATTCTGGAAACGGGAGAAAGATGTCCATCTTCCATAGGAGTCCTTTTGCCTGAAAACAAGTCCAAAACACAAAAAAATAAATGGGAGTGAGTTTTGTACATATCATTTGACTCCTTACTCTTCATCCTGAAGGACCCGTTTTACTTTTTTTAACTCTTTAAAAATATTTAAGTTTCCAGACTAGTCATCACTAAAATATTGTTCTGTTTTTAGTCAACTATAATGGAAACTTTGTGACTTCCATATATAATAAATATAATATTTTATATTTATTAATATTCTGTTTGTCCTGAGAGTATTAATACTTTTCTTGATAGCTCTTTGGTACAGAGCTATCATATTCCATTCTTCATATTTCATCATTCCATATTTCATATTCCATTCTTACACTAGCCCAAAGCTAGTTGGCAAAGAACCCTGAAATCAGTTTCCTATTTAATACCTGATAATCAAACACTTTTGCTTTCACAGCTTCACAAGTAGACACGACCCTTATTTTCATTGAGGGTCTGAAGCAGTTTTCTGGCTCCCTATTTCATTTGTGTTTTTCCCCAGAATCCTACCACTCTACTGAAGAAGTTATTCAAGAAAAGAAGAAAAATTATCTGTAAAACATCTTGGTCATATTTTGAAGACTTCCTTTCTTTTTCCAAAGCTCTCTTTGATCCTCATATTGTCTCTTCCTTCCCATGCCCACCCATTTCCATCCTTTATTTTCTGATACAAATACTTCTATCTTCTCAATTTCTTCTTCCTAAGATCGACCTTACTGTAATGCCAGGAACTTGACAAACATGTCAACCAAGAAACAAAGGATTCTAAAGAAGATGACTGGGAAAATATTCAGGTGTGAAGAATGCACTCTAGAAAACTTACAAAGACATTTCACTTTCTTGCTCCAAAAAGCTTCTTATCACCTTTCTCTTCTCCTTACCCCCTACTTCTTAACAATTCCTGTAACACTTGAGTTTTCTATAAACAACTTTCTTAATCCATTAACTTCCTAACCTACTTTTGTGATGTAGGTTTTTCCTTCCTTACTGGAGAGGTAACTTTAACCTCTCTAATTAGAAAGAAACTCTCACTGGATGTCTGTGTAGACTCCTTTAATAAATCCAAAGATTGAGGATGGGGGAATTACACAGTAGTTTGCATGCATGTGTGTGTGCTAAGTCACTTTAGCCATATCTGACTCTTTGCAATTCAATGGACTGTGGCCTCACAGGCTTCTCCAGGCAAGAATACTGGAGTGGGTTGCCATGCCCTTCCCCAGAGGATCTTCCCAACCCAGGGTCAGACCTGTGTCTCTTGTGTCTCCTGAATTGGCAGGCAGGTTCTTTTCCACTAAAACCACCTGGGAAGTGCTACATTAATTGTTTAAGATGATGGCATAATTTTCTCATTATTTGAACTTACAATTACTGAATGATTTTAGGAATAAGTGCCAGAAGTCCATTTATTCATTTCTTATAGTATAGAGGGTAGAAGCATGTCATTTGTGAGACCCAAGATCCAGCACTTTAACCAAATCATGGGCCCTCTAACATATTCCTATCTCTCCATAATCCCCAATTTGCTGTCCAGGATTAACCATATGAATAAGGAGAATACTCACCTATTTGTTCAAAATATTAACTTTGTTATATACTTTCAATGTTATGGGCTTCACTGGTAGCTCAGATGGTAAAGAACCTGCCTACAATGCAGGAGACCTGGTTCAATTCCTGGGTTGGGAAGACCCTCCAGACAAGGGGATGGCAACCCACTCCAGTATTCTTGCCTGGAGAATCCCAGAGACAGAGGAGCCTGGCAGGGCTCAGCCCACAGAGTTGCAGAGAGTCCAACACAACTAAGTGACTAGCACTTCACTTCACTGTTATAATTTCTTTGTCTCTACAAAAAAGGGTATATTTTCTAAGGAAAACATACCTGGATAAGATGTCCCACTAAGCCGGTGACTCTCAAACATTATTAACCACAGAGGACTGTGGGAAAAATCTCTTCATAACTATATAATCAGCACAAGTCTCTTTATAATTTCACAAATATACATACAAATAAGCATAAAGACTGTGCTTACTGCATATATCAGTCTCAATATGATTCTATCTCTAGAGAAACAGCATAAATGTGTATCTTAGGCAAATGTGTATCTTTAAGCCTAAAGTAACAGCTGTAACTGCTTGACTAAGAAAGCAAACATATCCATCCTGAAGGAGCACACACTTAGCTTTCTAAAACTCTTATTTTCTTGACCATGCTGAGAACAAAACCAAACTGGAACAGAGCCAAAACAAAAACATATTGTAAAAGATGCCTTTTAGGTTGTTCTATGTGCATATACAGTCACAATATTTTACTGCTGTTGTAAAAACTTCTAACTCAATTCCCTCAATTATTCATCCATCAAATATTTATTTCAGAGCCTACTATGAGCCTGCCTGCCTCCTGAGACACCTGTAAGCAGGTCAAGAAGCAACAGTTAGAACTGGACCGGGAACAATGTACTGGTTCCAAATTGGGAAACGAGTACATCAAGGCTCTATGTTGTCACCCTAGCTTATTTAACTTCCATGCAGAGTACATCATGCAAAATGCTGGTCTGGATGAAGCACAAACTGGAATCAAGACTGCCAGGAGAAATATCAATAACCTCAGATATGCAGATAACACCACCCTTATGGCAGAAAGCGAAGAGGAACTAAAGAGCCTCTTTACAAAGGTAAAATAGACTGAAAAATCTGGCTTAAAACTCAGCATTCAAAAAACAAAGATCAAGGCATCCGGTCCCATCACTTCATGGGAAATAGAAGGGGAAACAATGGAAACAGTGACAGACTTTATTTTCTTGGGCTCCAAAATCACTGCAAACAGTGACTGCAGCCACAAAATTAAAAGACGCTTGCTCCTTGGAAGAAAAGCTATGACAAACCTAGACAGTGTATTAAAAAGCAGAGACATTACTTTGCCAACCAAGGTCCGTCTAGTCAAAGCTGTGATTTTTCCAGTAGTCATGTATGGATGTGACAGCTGGATCAAAAAGGAGGCTGAACACTGAAGAATTGATGCTTTGGAATTGTGGTGTTGGAGAAGACTCTTGAGTGTCCCTTGGACAGCAAGGAGATCAAACCAGTCAAGCCTAAAGGAATAAATGCAGATGTCCTGACCAGAAAAGACCCTGATGTTGGGAAAGAATGAAGGCAGGAGGAGAAGGGGACGAGAGTGGAAGAGATTGTTGGATGGCCTCACTGACTCAACGGACATGAGTTTGAGCAACCTCCGGGAGATGGTGGAAAGACAGGGAAGCCTGGCATGCTGCAGTCCGTGGCATCGCAAAGAGGAGGACACAACTGAGTGACTGAACAATACAAATGAGTGAAGCACTGGAGAGACACTGATGAACAAATGATTCCTGAATTTCTGCTTAAACCAGACAAATGAACCACAGACCCTGCTTCTCAAAGTTACACTGAAATGACAATATGGGGATATTTTTTAAACAAAATTTACAACCCAAAAGGACAAGTATGAATGAAAGAAGCATCAATCGATAAGAGTTTTTGTCAATGTTTTAAAGCAAAGGCAGATGGTGGTGTGGTAACTGAACAGAGCAGAACAAAGAACTTTTATCCTCAATACTTCCTGAGAAATACACTTAGAAGAAGCTGAAAAATCCTGTAGATCCTCAGAGAAGCTGTAGATTAGGAGATACCAGGAAGTACTTTAAGTTTGGTGGGGCAGAAAACGAGGAAATTGATTGAAAAGTCTATATACAGAGCTGTTGGAACCCGACTCTAGGTTTGGGGCTCATCTTCTCCAGCAACCAAATGAAAGAACATATCCCCATGGCAGCAGCCCAAGTCGCTGGCACGACGGAACCCGATAAGCACAAAACTTCAGCGTCTCAGTGCACGGCTGAACATAGCAGGACTGGGTGGGTGTCTGCACATTCAGCATAAGAACCTAGCCCCCTTCTCGACCCTGTTCCCAGACGGCCCGAAGCCAGGCATATACTACCATGCAGGACTGAAGCACTCATCTTTGCCAGTAATTAAAAAGCCCCAGAGGAAAAAATACCTCTAGATGCTAACCTTTCACTGTGCCCCAAGAAAAATGCCAGCTTGGTGCCCAGTTACCTTGTATACTAAAGCCCACCTACTACCAAGCCCAACCCATGCACACAGAGCTTCCAATCAGCTTTTCAGTGCCCATTAAATATAAAAGTTGAATTTCCCAAATATATAAAGAGTCTATGAAAGGCTTACATAAAAGCAATGTTATAGGTAAACACTGAGGAAGACCTGAAATTTCTAATATCAGAGAACATAACATACATGAACTGAATAATTCTTTTGCCCTTTATGCTCTTCCTTCATTGTACTCCTGGCTGAAAAAGTAGGACTTCTGAATACTCATTTTAACTATGTCAAAAGATTCTTTCCTCTTAGAAATTCTTACCAAGTACATTGTGACCTGTAGTTTCTTTGTATTTCACAGAAGACTAAATTGAAGTTTTAAACATAAAATTTGCATTTCCAGAGGAAATGGAACAGTAGCAACATAAGAACAGTAGAAAATTAGCTTAGGTTGGTAATACTTGCTTAGCAGTCCTAATGTTTGATCTAAACTAGTCTTTATTTGCCTTTTGTTGGGTACTCTTATTAGATATTCCAAGAAAAAATTAAAATTATATGTGAAGGTGTATGTTTAAGTATATATTCATACACACATACATATATACACACTCCCCACATGTAAACCTCAGATATGGCAGAAATCGTTGAATTTATGATTCTTTCTCTTGTCTCAAGTATCTACAGAAACAACACAGAGGCAATCGGGTTAGTGATACAGTAAGTGTTTCATGTTTGGGGAATGCCAAGATGCCACAGTTAATAGGGCTTCAGGGGCTAGAATGGGGAGTGGAGGCCATAGAATTCGCAGTTTTCATCCTTTAGTCTTAAACTGCTATTTCAGTGCTTTAGATATTTGTTTCATTGAAAAGAGTATATTCTCCTAGAAGGCAGATTGATTTTATAAATCTCATTG